TCCTCACTCCGAGTTTCTTTTCGCTAGTTGTTTTCTTTGATTCACAGGCCTGGGTAAACAGGAGGAATGACAGCGTTTGCACTTGTAGTTCTTTTCTCTTCTTCTTCTTGATGCCTGGGAGCAGAAAAACGCGTCTAAGATCATGAAGCTGGTTTAGGTCCCGTTGCAGCGATAACCCAGATTGCCACTTGCTAATCACCCGACAAACATTGGTCTGCTACAAAAACAGAAGGGATTAAGCATTGGGGATGGAATACGCATTTTTTCCTCCACACAATCAAATGACGAGTTTATGGATAGAGGAGATGAGGGCTAGAAACAGAAGGCAAGGCAAGCAGCTGGGCACAGCGGAGATATATAAAGAGAGAGAGAATACATATGGGCACACACACAGAGATACGAGATACTGTGGAAGAGAGAGAGTAGGGGCGCGACAGAGAGATACTACTGGAGAGAGAGTGCACAAAAAGACATGTGTGACACATTAGGGATGAGAGAAAGGAGAAAAAAAAAAGATGCGAATGAAGAGAGAGAGAGAGAGAGATTGACATACTGGAGAATTTTTCTTCGTACCTGATCCTGACATAAGTAGAAACCACAGATGTCAGCACATGAACCAAGCATCTCCAAAGTGTTTCCAGGCATAACATGTGTGTGAATTTATAGAAGGTTCATGCTTTCAAAATGTTCCTTCATTGGGCGGTGTAAATTATCTGGGCTAACTGTCCGCCAACAGGGGATACAAGACAGCACTTGACGATCACAGCGCCACCTCCTCCTCTGCTTAGTCACACACACACACACACACACACACACACAGACTAATAATATATGCCTTATCTGCAGGTACCTTCTGCAGCAAGGCAAACTGCTGTTTGAATGAATGCATGTGCCTTAAGGACAAAAGAGTCACTGTTGTTTCCACTTCCCGATGTCGCGCCTGTGCCTTCAGAACTGGCCGCCGTCAGATAAGCCGCTCGCGCGAACTGGGCAATCAGAGGCAAGTACGATGAAAGGAGAGAATGTGGAGTTAAAACTGGAAAATAATACGGTATATAGATGCTGATTGGGGGTGTGTAAACAACAACAGCCATCTTATATTTTGCTGAACACCACAGGCAGAATCCTCCCTCTCTCCCTGCCATTGGCCTTCTAGAGAGCTGCCTTCAGGCTGCCATGACTGGCACTTGGCTGCACCTTGTAACTTAATAATACCAATCTGCCACCCAAGGCACACACACACAGGTAGATCCAACTCACGTTTATCAGAACATGTTTTTCATTTATAAATGCTCTCTCTCTCTCTTCCCTGCGAATTTTTACTTTCCTTCCTCCTTGGGCAGTGCGCCTGCTTTTCACCTTATCTGCCAGGAATGAGAACCAGCAGAATAATCGCGTTTGCTCTCCTCTCTCCTCTTCTCCTCTGCAGCACATATGCCCTATGTTGGTGCCTTGGTCGCCGCTGTAAAGCAAGGCTTCTATACTCAATCACAACGTTCGCAATATTAAGCGAATCCACCCAGAGTCTAACAAAGAATCTTGATACAGAATACCACCCCTTCATGGTGTGTGTGTAAAGGATAAATCTCCGACCCCTCCAGATTTGGCACTTGGTCTTTCTAATTTCGTGGCAGCAGGGAAACCAACATTTAGCACTGTGCTACAAAGGTACTGGGCTCTGTTTGGGTCATCATCTCATTTCCCCACGTGCACAACAATCTTGCACATATGGTATACCATCCTGCTTGCAGAAGATCTTCATCTTCTGAGAGAGATTTGCAAGAGTTAAGAGACCTGCTAAGGGACAAATGCCACAATCAGAGCTTCCTTACATGATGACCATTACAAAAATCGGCTTCTTCAGTCCTCTGCCACTGCCTCCTTGCGTGTGTTGAGAGAGAGGAGGGAGGGGGAGAGAGAGTGGTGGTGGTGGTGTTAGGGGAGCCGGGGAGAGAGAGAGAGAGAGAGAGAGAGAGAGAGAGAGAGAGAGTAGAAAAAATAGAGAGAAGGAGAGAGAGAGAGAAGGAGAGTAGGAAAGGGAAGGTTGGGGAAGGCCAGTCACAAGAAGGGAAGAAGAAGAAGGCTGAAGAGGGAAGGAAGAAGAAGAGAGGGAAGAAGGCGAAGAAGGGAAGAAGAAGAAGAAGAAGAAGAAGAAGCAGGATGTTTGAGCTTAATACACTCCTTTGCAGCAGGTGAATTATGCGTTTACTGACCTCAACAATATGTATGCCTTCTTCGGTGGGGTACATGTCTTTGTATGGGACCAATTAGAAATAAAGCTCCATATATAGCCAGACAAAACCGCCGACGAACCTGCCACTCGCCTCTCACCTTTCTTCGCGATTGCTCTAGCCAGCGCTCTTCTCCTGGGAAGCAGAACCTCTCGCCACCTGGGGCCTTTCTTTTGCAAAATGTGTGTAAATGGGAAATGTAAGATGATATTGTACCTTCAGGTAGGGAGAGAGAAAGTGTAGTCCTCCCATTTATGTCTCTCTTCTCAGTGAGGACAATGTTTCCACGAGAGACACAGGTGGCAGGTATTCCTCCGCCTCTCCTTCTACCCGGCTGTGTGTGTGTGTGTGAAGATTAGAATGCATGATTGCTTAAGGCTTCTAGACATTTTGTTGAACGATGCAGGGAAGGCCAAGCTGCATCTGGTCCCTAGGTGTCCGTATAAGGTGTGGCGGCGCAGGGGAATACCGCGGATACCCGCCCAGCGCGCCTAATGTATCAGCTCTTCATCGCTCTGCATCAAATTACCACAAGCCATATGTGCAGGTGACGAAAACCCTTTCACAAACACACATTACATATTATATATCACAGTTCTGGAGGTCAGGGGAAGGGGGTGTGGGGTGTGTGCAAATGGTCCTACACTGGGTTGTGTGTGCAAAACAGGCACTTGGAGAGGTGCAGGCAGCGGTGTCTGAGCATCATCTTGTTTTCGTTTTCTTTTTCTAATTTGTTGTAGCAGAGGCCATTTGCACCATTCCTTAGCGTCTACATGGCCTCCTTTCCTCTCTCTCTTCCTTTCCTTCTGCTCTCTCTGAGTTATTCACAATACAACACACACACACACACACACACACACACACACATATAAACACACACACACATTTCCGCGAAGAAGAAGAAGAAGAAGAAGAAGAAGAAGAAGAAGAAGAAGAAGAAGAAGAAAAAAGGAGGATGTTTGAGCTTAATACACTTTGAACACTATGTTTACTGACCTCAATATGTATGTCAGGGTGGGGCATGTCTTTAAGGAATTAGGATGAAGTCTATATAGCTAGATTGAAAAACTGAAAGATTTGAAACCTGCCACTGACTTGTCTTCTGCTGAATTTTTGCTCTAGGCCAGAAGCCCATTGGATGGGTAAGAACTCTCGCTAACTCGGCCTTTTCTTATTAAATGTAAGGATGATATTGAAATTTTGTAGGAGAGAGATGGTGTAGAGTCTCATTTATGATTAGTGACAAATGCTTCCAATGAGACAGCAGCCTTATTTCCCTACTGGTTAGGTAAGGATTAGCTCTGCTGAGTGATTGCTTTGTTTTGTTGAATGCAAGATGGAAGTTAGGGAAGGACACATGGATTTTGTTGCATTCTGGTCCCTAGGTAACCAGAATATTTGGATATACCTGAAGTCTTTCCAGTGCTAATGTATCAGTTTTCTATTACTGCTCTAACAAATTACCACAAGCTTGGTGATTTAGAAAAACCTCACAAATATTATTATATCACAGTTCTGGAGGTCAGAAGTCTAAAATGGGTCTCACTGGGTTAAAACTGAAGAGGTTGGCATTTCTTTGAGAGGTTCTAGAGCATCATCTTGTTTTCTTGCTTTTTCTAATTTGTAGAGGCCATTTGCATTCCTTAGCTCATGGCCCCTTCCTTCACTCTCTGAGCCAACAACATAACATCTTCAAATACCTCTCTGATTCTGACTCTTCTATGTCTTCTTCCACGTTTAAGGATTCATTATCACATTGGGCCAACCCAGATAATCCAGGATAAGCTCCGCATTTTAAAGTCAGCTGATTAGCAACCTTAATTCCATCTACAACCTTAATCCCCCATTGGAATGCATCATAACAGATTTACAGGTTCTGGAGATTAGGATGTGGACAACTTTGGAGGTTCTTATTATGCTTACCACAGCTGACTAGCAGGTGTTGTGTTTAAAGATGACAGGAGTACCCAAGAGGGAGCTGTAAACTTGGGGTACACCTAAAATCTCACTTCCCTTGCCATCTTTTGATAATCAGCTTCACAGTTTGTTATGGGATGAGTGTTATTGCCTAGGGAGTAAAGGGAGACTGTATTGGAAAACAACTGGAGAATGTATACTTTCAATATAATTTAAGATGATGTCACTTAAACTGCTTTGTGTTGACAGTAGACAATAAAGCCTAAATAAATTTGCCTAAAATATTTTCTTATAGCCAGTCTGGTCTTTACTTTCTCAACATGCCGGGGAATCACAAGAAATCCACAACCACCAAAGGGAAGAAGTCTAAATGACATTAAATGGAAATGTGCCTTCCTGCAAGGTTGAAACAGAGAGGTTGGCAAGGGTGTGGGGGAAAGGGAGGGCAAGAAAGAAATGGGAAATGTAGGAGAGATGCAGGTTTTGCAGGGCCTTTAAGCCATATTAAGGTTGTTACACTCTAATCTTAAAGGTCAATGGGAATCCTTTGAGAATTTTTAGACATGGAAGTCATGTTGAAAGATAGTTTTAAAAAAGATGTCCAAGACTGCAGTAGGGAAAATGAATTGATACAATCCAGAATTTCTTAGAAACCCTCCACATAATTGAAACAAATAAAAATGTATGCATAATGATAACTGTTCTAATGAGAACACATGGACACAGGGAGGGGAACAACACACAGTGGGGCCTGTCGAGGGGTGCGGGAGGGAGAGCATCAGGATAAATAGCTAATGCATGTGGGGCTTAATACCTAGGTGATGGGTTGATAGGTGCAGCAAACCACCATGGTACACATTTACCTATGTAACAAAACTGCACATCCTGCACATGTACCCCAGAACTTAAATTTAAAAAAATAACAACTGTTGCTTGAAGAACAGTCATTTGAGGAATACTATTCTTTATATGCTTTTGTTTGAAAACGCCACCTCTCATCTGAAATTTAACAATGGCTGGTGAAGTCAAGTCTCCTAATGGTTGCTGTGCCATGATTGATGGCTTAGAATACTTGCCACGTTAACTTTTAGGGGTAGTAACTTGACTGAAACACCTTTCTCCACAGCCTAGTCCTCAGTCCCACAGGGGCAAGATTTCTGTTTTGTTATTGAACCGAGAAATGCTGACTCTCAGTAACATTTGCTTCAATACTTTTTTTTGGTTTTCTTACATAACATATAAAGAAAAATACGAGAAGCAGGTTAAATTTTGCACTTTCTGAAATAAAACATATATATGTGTGTATATATATATGTTTGTATATTATATATGTATTCTTTAAGTTCTGGGGTACATGTGCAGGATGTGCAGATTTCTTATATAGGTAAACCTGTGCCATAGTGGTTTGCTGCACCTATCATCCCATCGCCTAGGCATTAAGCCCAGAATGCATTATATATTTTTTCTGATGCTCTTCCTCCCCCCAGACTCCCAATAGGCCCCAGTGTGTGTTGTTCCTCTCCCTGTGTCTATGTTAAAATGTACATCTTTTAATATGACTGCTAAAAATGATAATTTCAAAGTCTCTAATATTCTCAAGCATCCTTCATCTCCATCAGAGGGTGAAGGAGTATGAGCTCTGAGAACCAGAGCAGTGTGTCCGAGTTCCTCCTCCTGGGCCTCCCCATCCGGCCAGAGCAGGAGGCCATGTTCTTCGCCCTGTTCCTGACCACAGTGCTGTACCCGAACAAGGTGCTGGGGAACCTGCTCATCATTCTGCTCATCTGGCTGGACTCTAACCTTCACACCCCTATGTATTTCTTTCTTAGCCACTTGGCCCTCACTGACGTCTCCTTTTCATCTGTCACTGTCCCTAAGATGCTGATGGACATGTGGACTAAGTACAAATCGATCCTTTATGAGGAATGCATTTCTCAGATGTATTTTTAAATATTTTTTACTGACCTGGACAGCTTCCTTATTACATCAATGGCGTATGACCAATATGCTGCCATATGTCACCCTCTCCATTACACTGCCATCATGAGGGAAAAGCTCTGTGTCTTCTTAGTGGCTGTATCTTGGATTCTGTCTTGTGCCAGCTCCCTCTCTCACACCCTTCTCCTGACTCAGCTGCCTTTCTGTGCTGCGAACACCATCCCCCACATCTTCTGTGACCTTGCTGCCCTGCTCAAGCTGTCCTGGTCAGATATCTTCCTCAATGAGCTGATCATGTTCACAGTAGGGGTGGTGGTCATTACCCTGCCATTCATGTGTATCCTGGTATCATATGGCTACATTGGGGCCACCATCCTGAGGGTCCCTTCAACCAAAGGGATCCACAAAGCATTGTCCACACGTGCCTCCCGTCTCTCTGTGGTTTCTCTCTATTATGGGTCAATATTTGGCCAGTAACATTTCCCAACTGTAAGCAGTTCTATTGACAAGGATGTTACTGTGGCTCTCATGTACATGGTGGTCACACCCAAGTTGAACCCCTTTATCTACAGCCTTAGGAACAGGGACGTGAAAGAGGCCCTTGGGAAGCTCTTCAGTAGAGCAACATTTTTCTCTTGGTGATATCTGACTTTTTAAAAAATTAGAATCTCATTTTGGTTTACTTCATATATTTGATTTTCCATTTGAATATGTCTCAGAACCTTTTATGTCCTGAAGCCCTAAGACAAATGTTAACATGTTGAATGTAATTGGTAAATATTTGTTGACCAGAATTCCATTCTCTTATTAACAATGTTATTCTTTACAAATAGTTTTTGAGCAGTGAATGACAAATTAATTTTATTATTTATTTCTGCAACTTGGAGAAGGGACATAATACAATAATATACAGGTTTCTTATCCCTTACTTGAGAAGATGTTTGGAGACATACATACTTTTGGCCCATAACCCCAGGCTTTAACACAACATAGAACTGAAAGAATTAGCTGTATTATTTTACTATTCTCTATAATGTAGACTGAGTGGGATCATTAGTAAGTAGTGCTTCATACCAGTCTCCTTGGAAATATAACCAAATTCGAGTGCTAATTCTTGGAAAGCATCATTTTCCTAAAAATGCCACTCCAGATTCAGCACTGACTCAGGATAGCCCTGTCTTCCAAATGAAGAATGAAAAGCAACGCTTCCCAAATGTTATGGTACATGAGAATTCCTGGAAAGATTGTCAAAACTCAAATTCCTTGGATCTACCACTACAAATTATGATTTAGTAGAATTTTGGGTGAGGTCTAAGAATTTGCGTTCCTAACAAGCTGCCACGTGAAACGATGCTGTAGAATGTTCACTAAATCTTGGAAGTTGAGGGACGCACATTTATAACACCTCACCTGAATTCTGGTAGTAGATGGAGTAAAACAAGAGACAGCTTATTTCAGTAATAGAGAAATCAGTGATTCGTGTTGATATTTTTGTATTAACTCTGACTGTGGTAAATTCCTCTCCCCAATCTCTAATATAGGAGGATGTCTCCTGTATCAGCTATCAGCTTTTCTTATCTCTTTTATATCTAACATAGAAATACCCAGCTACTCCATATCATGGTTTGTATCATCATGCCAACCTATATATGTAATGAAAATGAAGCCAAAGTTTGGAAAAAAATTACATCTCATGTCCATCTGTGTCTTGTTTCCATTAAGCCTGGTGGAATTTCAGTGTGCCATGTAACTTTCCTGATGTCACTCAAATTTCACACATGATGCACATTAAATTGTATATTGGTTAGAAAGCACTAGATGATTTCAGAAAAACTATAACCCCACAAAGGGGACACGAGTTCTTGGCAGAATATTGAACAGTTTTATGTTAAATGATGTCATTCATTTATAAATGCTCACTGAGTTTGCCAGGCTTTTTGACATATCCCATAAAATAGCATTTGTTGTGGATCCAATCCACATTATTGTCATTTTTACCCCAGTCTTTATATCCCCTCTTTTTCTCACATTGGCTCTATGCAAAATGCAATATGTTTACTCAATTTTATACATAAAGATAAGGCTAATTACTATGTAAGCAGTAACTGGGATGGCATTGGTGATGGCTTAAACAGTAGTCTGAGATACGAAGATAGAAATTCTTGTCCTTTTTGAAGGAGTTTGATATTTGATCTATGTGTGGAATATTGTAGTAGCAACTTCCCTGTTATTCAGCTAATTTCATTCCATAATCTTTCACCTAGGCTTGGGTGGGAGAAAACAATCTGGCATTGTTGCCTGTCTTTCCACAGAGTTCACCCTGAACTTCCATTGTTCATGTATTTTCACAAGCATTTTTTAAAAAAATTTACTTTAAGTTCTGGGATACATGTGCTGAACGTGCAGGTTTGTTACATCGGTATACGTGTACCATGGTGGTTTGCTGCACGTATCAACCTGTCATTTGGTTTTAAGCCCCGCATGTATTAGGTGTGTGTCCCAATGGTCTCCCTCCCCTTGCCCTCCACCACCTGACAGGTCCCAGTGTGTGATGTTCCCTCTCTGGGTCCATGATTCTCATCATTCAACTCCCACTTATGATTCACAACCATTTTCACAGTTGTTTCTCCTCTTTTCAAAAGGGCAAGCCACAGACACTGAGGAATTAAGAGTGCAGCACATTAAAACTGATGCTTTTGAAGATATTAACATAGCCTTAATCAGACAACTCACAGAAGAGATGGTTTCAAGGCATTTCATAGTCTTTAATAAAATTTAACAGTGAATAAAATAAAAAATCTTAAGTAGATATGTACTTATTGATATGCATAGAAATAGAAGTGAAAAGATGGTGACAAATTATCACAGAAAATGAAAGCTATAAAGTACTATAAAATAAATTCATTACATAAACAGACATGTTTATGAATAAAAGTCATTTTATTTTTTTTAAATTTCAACTTTTGTTTGACATTCGTGGGGTGCATGTCCGGGTATATTGCATGGGTATATTACGTGATGCTGAGGTTTGAGCTAAAAATGATATCATCACCCAGACAGTGAGCGTAGTACCCAATAGTTGGTTTTTCAATCTTTCTCTAGTAGTCCCCAGTGTCTATTGCTCCCATCCTGTCCACGTGTACCTAATGTTTAGCTGCCACTTATAAGTGAGAACATGCAGTATTTGTTTTCTGTTTCTGTGTTAATTTGCTTAGGATAATGGCCTCCAGTTGCTTCCATGTTGCTGCAAAGGACATGATTTCATCCTTTTTGATGGCTTCATAGTATTCCATGGTGTACTACATTTTCTTGATCTCGTCCACCATTGATACACACCTAAGTTGATTCCATGTCTTTGCTATTATGAATAATGAAAATGCCCTCTTAGAAGGATAAAAAATGAATCATGAAAGGGTGAGATACTTTGACTTTCTCCTTTGTTTTCATGTTTATATTATTTGTATTTCCATCATGAAGAAGAATTAGTTTTATAAGCAGCAAAACAAAAGAGAATTTTCTTTTGAGAGAAAAGTCTCTATAGACATCTCAACCTAACACCTAACTAGGGGAAACCAGAATCTGGCAGGAGAGGTCTTTCCCCATCTCCTTTTGAACTTAAATTCACAGGGCCTGACATTCTTCCTAAGGACAGAGGTTCCTTCAAGTCTGCCCTTAGAGCCACTTACCTCAGGATTACCTGGCTCCAGGTCTCATGAATGAATATCTCTGCAGGTGGAGCTTGGACCTGATCTTTAACAAACTCCCCAGGTGATTTTGATGAACATCAAAGTTTGGAGACCACTGCCCGATGGCATCTGTCTTGGGGAGAGTAGGAGGGAAACTGAGCAATTAATGCATGTTTAATGCAAGTCTCTAACCATGAGCTTGGTGCCCTGTCACCTTGAGTCCTCTCCCTTGTGGGTAGAATAGAGTTGTTACCTCTCCATTTCTGAAGCCTGTAAATTGAGAATAGTAAGCTCCAGGTTCATGACTTTTTTTTCTCCAATGTCAGTGAGGTTTAGGACCACAGAATTTGGAGGCTAACTCTGGTCCCTTGGTCTCCTAGAAAGAAGCTGAGAAACCAGTCCATATTCCCAGAAATGACTTGAACATAGAGTTCAGAGCAGGACTGGTATCCTTCTCCAGTAGCAGGTGTGTGTGTGTGTGTGTGTGTGTGTGTGTATACAGTTGCTCAGCATTTCTCTGTACTCTTGCTGAAGTCATTTTTTATTCCCAGTTCCAAAAGACAGGGATGCAACATTCACCACTGGCCAATAACTCTCATGTCTTTAACCCCAGCTTGTGGGGAGATGAGGGATAGAGCCAGCTGGCTACATAAATTGATGGGCATATCCTCAAAATTCAAGCTAGGGGTCTCATCTCATCATTCATGTTCTAGATATTAGAATGTTGGCTTATTTACTGCATGCAGTGTTAGAGAGCCCTCTCTTTCCAAAGTCATTTCCTTCCCTTTAGACAGCACAGTTACTTTCTGAAAGTATGTTTGAAGGACACGTTTAGCTAGAGAGCTTTTGGTCCTTTCTTCCTTCATGTAGCATCCATATTGCATCTGCTTGATATTAGAATCTGCTTGATAATTTCCTGTCTGTTATCTCTAGTGTATTCTTAAACCTTCATCAAAGGCAGCAAACTTTGAGCCCAGGCGACATCTCCTACCCCAATTACTTTTGCCTGGTTTGCACTGAAGATAAGACACTGAGTTTCTTCCCTAGAGGTCTTTGCACTTTATTTTAATGGAAACAATGTCATCTCGTATATGACACCTTCTATTGATGAGGTGTTTTTATTGACCTTACCTTATTTAATTTTTGCTATAATTCAAGGATTATGTTCACAATTCTAGAGAGGAAAAACTGAGGCTCCTAAGATGTGCACTACCTTGCCCAAAGACATAGAACTTTGCTTGAACCCGTTCTGTCTGACTTCAAAACCCATGCTTTGTCTTCTATAATACACAACCTCACTGTCAAGGGAATATCAGTTATCAGCAAGCAGTCATTGAGGTTTTAGTGATCAGGAGGCTGAATGTGGTGGAGTGGAGTCCGTACATGGTCTTTACACAGAATTTATGCAGTTAGAAATAGGCATGGTTGAATTGGATTCAGGGGACTTTATATTAAAGTCTTAAATCCCATGGATTAAATAGATTTACAAGTTCAGGAAGGAGTCATCCAATTGATATAGCTTGAGAGAAACTGGAAGAGACTGGAGAAGGAGAGGGAGAAGTCCAGAATAGTGAGATATCTGAGCCATCATTCTCTAGGGTGTGGTTGGATGCTGCCTTTCTGCCCAACTTCATTATTGCTGTTTCTGGCTTTTGCCTGCATCAGGTCATGGTCTCATGATGCAGTGACCTTGTTGTGCCTCAACTCTGCCAGTATCTGCCTGTTGAAAGGAGTGGGCAATCAGGAGGGAGAAATGAGGGAGACTCAGGAAATGGCAGGTGAGAAACTAATATGAGTTGCTGCAGATTATATGCAGTCACGCTTCACAAATGTTATCTTCTTAATATTCACAATATTCTCATGACTTAGGCTTGTTGTCTTATCTCCAGATTAGAGATGAGAAAACTGAGGCTCAAGCCAATTGGGTCACTTCCCCAGAACTTGCAAATGTGAAGTGATGTTGGCAGGACTTGAATCTAGGGCTAATTGCAATGCTTTTATCAGTACAACATACTACCCTCAGATACTAGGCTCTATCCTTAAGGTCACAGCCCCAGGGGGCCTCGAAATGCTGGAGTGAGCAGGTACAGGCAGGGAACCTGGGCCAGGCATTCTTGCCCGTCTTCTCTACGGGTCCATTCAGAACTCTGTTATGTTGACTGCTTTTTGGTAAATTTCAAAGGAAGGATGGTATTCCCATATGAAATAGGAGTATGCTCAACTCACCAGCTTAAAGAAGCAAAGACTTTTAAGCGTATCCTTAACTTGTGTATAGCTCTTCTGAATTTTTCTCCCAGTTAAGAACTGTTATAATGACATCCTAACATTTTCTATTTACTTAGTGTATGTAGGTATATATATGAGGCATTTGGCATTGATTTTTGACTTAAAGGGAACTTTTCAATTAAGGTACAATGGAATTATAAACTCATTCCTACTTGCCTTGCAGGATTTGGTAACTTAGGTTTAGAATATGTTTTTGAGGTGTTTTTATTTTCTTTTTTTTTATGTTCCAGGATACGTGTGCAGGATGTGCAGGTTTGTTACATAGGTAAACATGTGCTATGGTGGTTTGCTGCACCTATCAACCCCATTACCTAGGTATTAAACCTGGTATTCGTTAGCTCTTTTGCCTGATGCTTTCACCCCCTCAGCCTCCCTAGACAGGTCGCAGTGTGTATTGTTCTCTCTGGGTTCTCATTGTTCAGCTCCCACTTACAAGTGAAAACATATGGTGTTTGGTTTTCTGTTTCTGCATTAGTTTGCTGAGGATAACAGCTTCCAGCTCCATCCATGTTCCTGCAAAAGACATGGTCTATTCCTTTATATGTATGTTCATTGCAGCACTATTCACAATAGCAAAGACATGGAATCAACTCAAATGCCCATCAGTGATAGAGTGGATAAAGAAAATGTGGTACATATACACCATGGTTTTAGAATATTTTAATGGGTAGACAGTGGCTGTGGAGGAAGCTGGCATATTTTTCTCATTCCTGATTTTAACGGAAATGTTTTAAAATATCACCACTAGGTATGGTGTTTGCTGTATTATTTAGTTTAGTGAGTGTCTTAGTCGGTTGGGTTGCTATAGCTGGGTGACTTTAAACAGCAGACTTTTTTTTTTTTTTTTTACAGTTCTGGAGCCTGGGAAGCCCCAGATCAAGGTACCAGCAGCTTTGGTTTCTGATGTCGGTCCACTTTCTGCTTAGCAGATGGCTGCCTTCCTGCTGTGTCCTCACATTGGCAATGCCTGAGACATTCTTGTGTTTCTTCTTATAAGGGCACTAATCCCATTCATGAGGTTCTATGCTCATGACCTAATTACCTCCCTAAGCTCTCATCTTTAAGTATTTTGTGTAAGATTTACTTTTTTATGGCAGTGATATTGTAATCAATGGACATGGTTTTTTTTTTTTTTCTCATCAACTTTATACATAATGAAAACTTTGGCTATCTTTGATCCAATTTCTTTTGGATATACGTTATTGAAACTTCATCCCTATATGTTGCTTATTAATAGATTCTGAAGTCAATTTTTTTTTTGTTTGAGATGGAGTCTTGCTCTGTCACCCAGGCTGGAGTGCAGTGGCGGGATCTCGCCTCACTGCATCCTCCATGTACCACATTCACGCCATTCTCCTGCCCCAGCCTCCTGAGTAGCTGGGACAACAGACACCCGGCTAATTTTTTTGTGTTTTTTTTAGTAGAGATGGGGTTTCATTGTGTTAGCCAGGATGGTCGTGATCTCCTGACCTGGTGATCTGCTTGCCTCAGCCTCCCAAAGTGCTGGGATTACAGGCGTGAGTCACTGCCCCCGGCTTGAAGCCAAATTTTAAAAAGTTGAATATGTTACAACACGAAGGCTCATGACTAGCCTGATGAATGTTTTTAAAAGTACAGAAACAATGGAAATTGGAAAGATGTTACCTTACTATCCATCTGCTAAGACAGTGTGAGGCTTTCTCTTTACTGACTACACATGTCTGGTCTTCTCTTCTATTTCAAACCCTCTACTTTCTTGGCAAATTATCCCATTTTTTTTTGTGATAAAATGATCTACTTTAAATGATTTTTGTAGGGACATAGAAACGTAGACAGACACTAGCATATTCATCAGTAGCAAGATATTATTCTTATCTGCCTGCTGTTAATATTTGTTTGTTTCTGCCTTTTTCAATGTCCCTCTATTCCCAGCAGAGAGAAGACTATCAGTATGAAGAGGGAGAATCAGAGCAGCACGTCCGAGTTCCTCCTCCTGGGCCTCCCCATCCAGCCAGAGCAGCAGGCCGTGTTCTTCGCCCTGTCCCTGGGCATGTACCTGATCACAGTGCTGGGGAACCTGTTCATCATCCTGCTCATCTGGCTGGACTCTAACCTTCACACCCCCATGTATTTCTTCCTCAGCCACTTGGCTCTCACTGACATCTCTCTTTCATTTGTCATGGTCCCAAAGATGTTAATGAGCATGCAAACTCAGGATCAATCCATTCTTTATGGAGCGTGTGTAACTCAGATCTATTTTTTCATATTTTTCACTGATCTAGACAATTTCCTTCTCACTTCAATGGCATACAATCGGTATGTGGTCATCTGTCACCCCCTCCGCTACACCACTATCATGAAAGAGGGATGGTGTAACTTACTGGTAGCAGTGTCCTGGATCCTCTCCTGTACCAATGCCCTGTCTCACACTCTCCTCCTGGCTCCACTGTCCCTTTGTGCTGACACCACCATCCCCCATTTCTTCTGTGACCTTATTGCCCTACTCAAACTCTCATGCTCAGATATCTCCCTCAATGAGCTAGTCATTTTCACAGTGGGATGGGCAGTCATTACTCTACCACTAATATGCATCTTGATCTCTTATGGCCACATTGGGGTCACCATCCTGAAGGCTCCATCTACCAAGGGCATCTTCAACGCTTTGTCCACCTGTGGCTCCCACTTCTCTGTGGTGTCTCTGTATTATGGCACAATTATTGGACTGTATTTTCTCCCCTCATCCCGTGCCTCCAGTGACTAATTGTCTCTGTGATGTACACGATGATCATGCCATTGCTGAATCCCTTCATTTATAGTCTAAGGAACAGGGACGTAGAGGGATCCCTGGAGAGACTCTTCAACAGGACAACAGTCTTATCTCAATGACATTTGCTCTTCTTTATAACAGACATATTTATTGACCTCTCTCCCAATGATAGATCCTTAATCCTGATCCCAGCAAGGGATAAATGCTCAGTAACTCTCTGATGACTTGAATTGCATTCTGTTACAGTTCTTCTCTCTTTTCCTCTGTAGTGTAAATTGTCAATTCTGAGTTTACATAATTGGTTATTTATCTTGCCTATTAGATTCAGAAATTACATAGTTAACAGAACTTAAATCTTTGCTTTTATTTCCTGGAAATTTATTTATTTGTTCTTATGAATAGTTTAAATATGTTGACTAACAGGCTTCCCTTGCCATAGAAAAGTTGAAGGATTGAGTACTTGTAAAGGCATTTTCCTTTGTTTCTTCCCATTCAGTTCTCTTCTCACATTTTTTATTGCTGTTTTTGACAGTGGTGGGTCAGGAGAAGAAACTATATAGTACCCCTTACAGATTCATAAAGCTATTCACTGTCGTAAGTTCAGCTCTTCCACTTCAGGACTTGAGGTTCCTCTTCTAGACTACAGTAACTTTCATTCAACAGTTCACTTTTACACCAGCTGTCTATTAAGCTTTCTGACTACACATGTGAGTTTCAATCATGACACAGACTCACTCCAGGTAACGAATGAGAAGAAAAAAAAGTATTAACAGTCAGGAGTGGTCTGTTTTCCTCACTAAAACTGATCCTTTTTCCATTCAGTCTCTTCATTGTCTGTCTTATTGAAAAGCATTTCTGCTCAGCTTAATGGCCCCTGGTTTGTATTAGTTGCCCAAGTAATCATCTATGATTCTCTTCTATCTTCTATGTTCTTCACCATCCAGTGAAGGGCACATAGGCCTCTTTTTTCGTTCCTCCACTTAAAGATAAACAGAGCTACAAATGCTTCTGAGAATCAGCAACATGTAGCTGCAAGAAAAGAATATTTGGAAAGATAGATCTCACTTGTATCTGTATATACCAGGGTGGTGGCTGTGTGGCCTCAGACAATTCACCAAACTCCTTTGAAACTCAATTTCTTCTTCTGTATAGGTGAAAAAATTCTGCAATATCTAACATATTTTTATTTGAAGTAAGTGCAGTAATAAATTGGGCTTAACACTACAGCTGGCCAAGAATAATGAATGTTAATTTTCTCTAACTTCTCCATCAGAGATGAGTTTTGAAGCAGAACTTGTGCAGACACTCCTGAATTATGGTGACCATGGGCAATTTGTCATGTTGGTTATATTCCCAGTTCAAAAGCAATAATCTGCCCTAGAACACAGCAAGCTATCTATTCTGGCTTGATCTAGAACCAAATAACTAAAGGGCAATGAACGAGTGAGTTGATGTGTGGGTAGGTAAGGAAAGGCAGATCAGAAAAATACCTTACTCTTCACTTACTTGATATTGACTCAAAGAGTGACTGTTCATTGGGGGCTCATGTAGCTGCATTTTGGCATCCCAGATTCCTTTGTAGAACAAGAAAGAGTGTTACATCCACCCCTTGCTGCAAACACAGGGTCACTTTGTTTACAGGCTTAGCCCCTACTTTTTTCAGAGCCAAAACCTGAACAGGGATAAATTCTTTATTGTTGGTCTAGATAAAGTGTGCCTTGGTAGCCTCAACACACTCATGAACTGCTGTACACTCTCATCCCTGCTACAGTGATGTGATCTGTAGAACGGAGTGCCTGACTCATTTTCCCTGCCACATTCCAGTTCTGTTGTTCAGATCCCTGAAGGTCTGCCTAGTCTTGTCAGTCCCATCCTCCAGAGAGGCCAATATTGTCATTTATGTTTTTAGCCACAGGCTGGTGACACTTCTCTGAATGGCTTTTCCTCAACAAATGGCAAGCTCACTTGTCTGTTAGGAAGTGTTTTATCACTATCTGTCCTACTAGTCCACCCCATCTCCTAGATCAGTTTGCCTTGGTTTTGGACAGCCCAAAGGACACCGGTGTGCACTGTATTGATTTGAATATGCAAATAGAACTGGACATCAATCACATTGGAAGCATGCAATTTATTTTAGTGCATTTCACTCTAGCAATGCCAAGGTTAAGATTCATGACCTTCTCCAGTGAAGCACCTCATTGAGTTTAGAACAAAGGTTGCTGCATTTTTGAAATCCATGAATGTGTGATTTCTTCACAACTTAACAAATAGTTCTGAAAATTGGCAATTATTGAAGTTTCAAGCGACCAGTGTACATCCTTCTCAAAAGTTGATATTAGTTCTTTCACAGTGTGACAATAGAAAAACCTTTTTCGGAAGGGAGGAATCAAAATATCCTAGAACCCAGAGCTCCAGCGCTTGATTTTAGCACGTAACTCTGACATGGGAATTTTAAGAGTAAACAAAAATAATTCTGTTTTCTCACAGACGGAAAGCAGAAGGGGAATTTGCTAAAGAATTAAGTTCACTTAGCTTTTGAAGGAAAAAATAAATCCATCGATGTTGTGTCGATTAGCATCTTTGAATCCAAGAACTGTGTGCATGTGTGTGTGTGTTTGTGTGTGTGTAACTCATATATACATACAACTTAATTTGTATTTAATTAAGGACAAATGTTGGAATTAATACTGAAAATAGTAAAACATTATTTATTTTGTTGATTGCACTCCTCAGTATCCATTCTGCAAGTTACCTGTCTGTGTCAGGCAGTGTGCCTATCCTCGGTCAAACAGAGCTGGATAAAGAGAAAGCCTCCAAGCAAAAGAAGTTCATAATCTGACAGTGTAGCGACAGATAAACTAAGAAATATGCAAGAGTACAAAAAATGCCTTAATATGATAACACTACGAATAGTTGTGCTTTCTTTGCATGGCTACTGCACGTCAGGCATTTTATTAAAAGCTGTACCTGTATTATCTCATTTAATCCTGATGATAATTCTATATACATACACTCTTGTTATGTGTATTTTACAACTGGAGAAATTGAGGCTTAGAGATGATGAAATACTTACATGGTAGTAACACAAGGGAGTATAGTTAATGCTGCCTGGATATCAGCAAAAGCTTTACAGGGGAAATAATTCTTCGGTTGGGAGTTGAAGAACGCTCAGGATTGACACATAATGGAACAAATGTATCTAGGTATAGTGGACAGAGTGGGCCAGGACACTGAAATTGCGTGGTATGTTCAGGGGAATGTAAGAAAAATGATATTGCTATGCATATGTGTGTATGAGTCAAGGGAGCATCAAGAACTGCGTCTAGGCAGGGAGACAAATACTATATTGTGAGGGGAGTAGGATGTCCTGTTAAGAGGTTTAGACATTGCCTTGCCAGTGACAGGCGCCACTGGCTAGGGGTGGGGTCGAATAGGGATTAGTCCCAGGGAAGGTTATATTTGTGTTTTCAAAAGATTACTCAGGTAACCAATGTGTGAGATGGTTTGGCAATGGATTGGAGTGCCTTGAGTCAAGAGGCTTAATTAGAAGGTCATTGTACATCCAGGTAACAGATAATGTGTGCCTGGATGAAGACAATGGTGTAAAGACAGAGAAGAGAATACTCTTGAAGGTAGACTAGACAGTATTGGTAATTGATGGGAAGTAGGTGATAGAATGAATGATTGCTCTCAATTTATGGTTCTGTGGACTGATATTTAAGAACAAAATGAAGACTAGGCACCTTCAATAATTTTGATTAGGTCTAACAGTCTTGAGGAAGTGAGGAAACAAATTGAAGATCACTTGCTTCTTAAAAATGGGTTCTGAGCATGAAGAAAGTAAAATCCCTAAACAGGCAAGGGACACCAGGAAGCTTTCTCTCATGCCACCTCTCTCCATTACCCGACCTCTGATTCAAAGAACACCCTGCTCACATTATCCTACCAAGGTGCAAAGATTTCTAAGTAACCTGTATGTCAGCGGGAATTATTTTAATGCAAACATCACATTAATTCTCTTTGACATGGATGACCTTAAAGGAATAGAAATTTGAGCTTAGGTTTTGGGGATGGGTGTAATAAGATAGTCATGTGCCTCATAATGATGTTTTGATCAACAACAGACCACATATGCGACAGTGGTTTCAGGCTCATAAAGGAACTGAATAAACCCTATCACAGAAATACTTATATAGTGTTACAGTTTCCTACAGTATTTAGTACATTAACAAGCTGTACATGTTTTTAGTGTAGGGGCATTAGTTATACCATATAGCTTAGCTGTATAGCAGGCCATCCCATGTAGGCTTCTGTAAGTACATTTTATGATGTTTGCACAATGACAAAATTGCCCAGTGAAACATTTCTCAAAACATATCCTCATAGTTAAGTAACATATAACTGTGTATCAAGGGAGGAATAAGTTTGGAAGTTTGAATAAATTGATAACTCTTGGCTGGCTGGAATCGTGATAGGCAACAGTGTCCCTTGATGAATCTTTGTATGTTCAGTGCTGACCTAACTCCTAACGGCCACATAATTACATTAAGTAAACAGAAGTTGACTCCCAGTCACATCTAGTTTTCTTGGGGCCTGTGAGAAATAATTTAAAACATACCCAAATAGGGTTCAGAAATTTACTGCACTATCAGTGAGTGCATCGAGGGTCCCGAAGGATCAGAATGGTGAAAGAAACCAGAAAGCTACCTAGAGAAACCACCACAAGTACAGAAGTTAAAGTTGATTGGGGGAATCTGAGCAGCAGATTTAGGGTATCAGGGTGGACATAGGTTTCAGACAGCTTCTTTCTCGTGTTTATTTGAGGACCTTTCCTTTGTCAATGTAGGCTTCAATGCAATCCAAAATAACCCTTCTCTGATTCCCCAAAAACCATGGTAACAGACTGCTCCATGGAATGGAAGTGTAACTCTGTGAGATGAACTCACACATCACAAAGCAGTTTCTCAGAAAGCTTCATTCTCCTTGTTATCTGAGGATATATCCTTTGTCACTGTAAGCTTCATTTCACTAAGAATTATCCTACAGCAGATTTCGTGACATCAGTGTTAGTAAACTGATCAATGAAAAGAAAAGTATAACTCTGTGAGTTGCATTCAAACATCACAACGCAGTTTCTCACAACGCTTCTTTTCAGATTTTATCTTAGGCTATTTCCTTTTTCACTCTCAGCCTCAATGCACTCCCAAATGTCACTTTGCACATCCCATGAAAACAGTGTTAGTAAACTGTTCATGAAGAGAAAGGTGTATCTCTGTGAGTTGATTTCACAAATCATATCTGCAGATTTCAGGACAATAGTGTTAGCAAGCTGATCAATGAAAAGAAAAGTATAACTCTGTGAGTTGC